ACTGTAGCTGAATCTCACTCCTGAGTGGTAACCTTCCTGGAGATAACATAGTTCTCCTAAATTAACATAATGTCTTACTTGGAGAATCCCGTGAGCAGACTTTTGGTCCTGCTCAGATTCCTTCCTTTCTTCAATATTCCCCTCCTTTGTTTTGATGACAAATAAATAGAGGATTCCCAGAGAAGATCTTCATCTTAAATTCTTTAGAGGGTTTTGATCCTCCAGGAAGCCCTAAAATCATACCACTTGACTCATTGAAGCCTTCACTGTACACTCATTTGGGAGATTGCAGGCCTGAGCAGTCCTTAATAACTAAGGGATAATATCAATGCATTAGGAGGGAATTAAAAAAAGAAAAAAGATGTAGTATGTACATGTACCCTGTCCACAAAATGATCATAAGCTCCATGTCCTGCAAACATGTATGAATATAATTTAAAAGTTTTTAAAAAGAACTTTACCTGATAGTTATACAAGCACACCATAAAGAAATAACTGTTGAAAAATATCCCCCTTAACACAGTTCCAAAATTCTCAATGAAATATTAATAAGCAGAAGCCATAAATGCATTCACTGTCCTATGCATGACTCCAAAAGATGCATCTTCCCCATCCTCACTGTACACTCATCCCAGGTGTGATGACCCCTCCTAGGCACAAGGGTGATATTAAATGTCCATGATGGCATCCAGTATGGAACCCTTGTGCTCTGTCTACTGAAGACTGCTGATCTCACCATGCACTGCAGTGCAGGCATATGCAAAGGCTGCTTTGATTTCCCTGGACAAGGACATGACAGGAACTGAGGACAATTTCTCTTCTCCTACCCAAAGATCCTATCATTTATATGGGTTCCATTGCCTACAACCTTACTCAGGTATCCATTTAGATGAGATTGTGGACAAGGCATGCAGTTCATAGGAGCCCACATCAGTGACTTACAGGAATCATCCCATTTTGGCCTCTCTCTTTTCCCATACTTCTGGCATCTTGACCTAATCTGGATGGGTATTCAAGTGTTCTTTCATGCCTGATATTCAGAATGAAACCTGGACTGGTTCATGGTACCACAGACCTTTTCTGCTAAGCTGTTTTCTCTGTCATAGGCTGGCAGGGTCTGTTTTCATTGGCAAAGCTGAATATTGAGCTTTTTTTTTCTCAGAATTACTACATGAAACATCCTGCTCTGTGTTAGGAGCACCAGAAAAAAGAGGAGGTGACAACCTTAGTAGAAAATACTTGTAAATGCCAATGTACTCTTAAGCAGTATATTTGGGGTGTTGAACAGAGCCTCCTTATCAGCCTCATATTTAGTAATTATTTATCAACCACTATCATTTCTCCTTTGAATATAGAACAATTTCAATATTGATCAAGACCTTATCTCTACATATTTCCCTCTGGTTTTGCTTGTTGCACAAATTCAATATTTATCTACCTGAGTCTATCCTCCTTTTAACTTTAACTCAAAACAGATAAGCAAATGTCCTTATTTTCTTTTCCATTTTATTTTTTCTAGTGATGTAGCAAGAGGGAACCTCAATAAAACTGATATCATGATGACTGGGTAGGGCAATGGAAACTTAGCTTACAGAAGAGCATGGGCCATGAGCCTCAGGAGTCAGAGCACCTTGGCACCAAGGGGCAGGAAGGACCTCTACAAAGCATGGAATATTGGGCAAGTGGTGTGATATTCACGGCTCTGTGTATGACACAGCAGGTACCTTGAGTAGGAGTTGTACTGTGATCACAGAATATTTTGTTCCTAGCATGGTTTTCATTTTTCCAAAACCTATCTTGATATTTCCTTGGTGCCATCTCTTATGGAAGAAGTTCTGAATAGTTGAGATGTGTCATTCAGATTTCTATCACTGTGACAAATGAGCTGAGATTCACCACCAAAGAAGGAAGTCTTTGTCTTGCAAAATATGAATTAGATTCTTTTACTGTTACATAAAACATAAAAATTTCACAAATTCATGGGGTACCATGTGCAATTTTAATACATGTTTACATTTTGCACTTTTTATTTTAAACAAAAAAACTAACAAAATAACAATTAAGAGAAAAACAAAAACAACAAAACTGATACATGACCTCAAAACAAAATGATAGGAATTAACAATGGCTATACATTACATGCTGTTGTCTTCATATAGCTGGGTATATACATCACAATTTCCTACCTGATTTGATGTGGTAGTGGACCTGAAGTGTGTTTTATTTTGACGGTGGTCAGTGCTCCACTGCAAAAGTTACAGGCTTCTTTTGCTGAGTTCACTGACTAACATAACAAATATGCTGAGAGAGAAATAAGGGACACCATACCTTTCACAATAGCATCCAAAAAACTGAAATATGTAGGAAACAATCTAGCAAAAGAAGTAAAGATCTATACAGTGAAAATCACAGTACTCTGAGAAAAGAGATCAAAGATGATTTCAAAAAATGGAAAGATATTCCTTGCTCATGGAAAGGAAAAAATGACATTGTGAAAATGGTCATACTCCCAAAATTTTTATACAGAGTCAATGCAGTTGTGATGAAAATACCATAGATACATTTCACAGACCTAGAGAAAATATTCAGAAAATTCATCTGGAACAAGAAGAGACCCAGAAGGTGCACTGTTTAAATGAGATTAAATTATCTGTCTCCTCAAATATTTATTTCTTCATGGTGAACATTTTCCATATTCTTTCTTCTTCCTCCTGCAGACTGCAGTGGATTGCTGTTGTGATCCATCAATCTGCTATGCCATAACACAGCAGACCTCAACACTCCCATCTAAATGAAACTCATGTCCAGTAATAAATTTTCCCCATTCTCCTGATTTCAGACTTAGGACATTTTGACACAAGAGAAAGAGACAGGAGCCCATGTCAAATATTCCATGGACAGACAGTCTTGCACAGCATGGCTTTATTGGGGGACAGGGCTCTGCCTATACTGAGACTTCAGCCTAATGGAGCGGGCATTGGTGAAGAGAGGAATTAAGCTCTTCACAGAAAAAGAAAAGCAATGGGCTTTCATGCATTTGCTGCTGTGGCTAAAGTCCAGTAATTTGCACTGGCCAGGAAGACTGATCCAGAGATATTTCTTGTGCTCATGGACTACTGCAGGGAACTGCTGATTTACTGTTGTAGCTGGTTTAATCAATCTGCAAATATTCTGGCCTGGTGCTTTGTTGCACATCTTATGATATGGTTGAAGTTTTTTTGTTTCTTACACTGCTCTAGCTGTTGCAAGACCACTGGAGTGGCCTCAATAAAAAAAAGAAAGGAATAGATGGCAGAAAGTGGCTTGAACAGGCATAGTTCAAATCACCTGTGTATTAGAGTTACAAAGTAAAATGTATATCAGTAACCTCTGTTTGCAGAGCTGTGTAGAACCTTACTCAAAGGTTCTATCACAGCAAAGAGGACAGACAGAATATGAAGACAGAGTTACCAAGCCTTTTGACGCATTTCAGTCACCCTTTCAATTTTTCTGGCTCAAATACAGAGTCAGTGAACTCAGCAAAAGCAGCCTGTAGCTTTTGCAAAGGAGCACTGACCACCATCAAAATAAAACACACTTCAGGTCCGTTACCACATCAGAGCAGGTAGGAAATTTTGATGTATTACCCAGCTGTGTGTCCTCTAAAATTAATGTTAAATAAAATAACTCAGACACACAATCTTAAATATTGCATGATTTGTTTCATATGAAAAACTTTACAATTATGAAGAAAGACATGATTAGAAAAGCGAGCAAAAAACATGTACTATACTCCATTGGGTACAGCTCATCTAAAAGTGTACTTTGACTTAATGCAATTGTTTTTCATGTTTTATATGTTCTTTGGCTTTATTAGTCTGTGTTCTAAACTGTATATTTGGTAATTAAATTTATAAGGTCTTGTAAGATGAATAAATAAATATGATCCTGGAAAAATAAAAGTGGATTGGAGGGAAAAAGGAAAAACTAGAATTAAAATGTTTCTTGTATACCACAAATTCCCTACAGTGAATGTTGTCATTATATACTAAAAACACATATCATAAAAGTAAAAACATTAGTAATTATTAAATTTAGTGAAGTAAAATGTAGTTAGAGGGTTGGCTTAGGCTTTTCTTTGGTAAGGACTCCCTCTGGTGGTTTTATCTGTGTTTTATGATCAGTCTGTTGGAAAGAGCACAGGAGAAGGTCACCACGCTTTGTGACAAAGGAGTAATAGTTTATCCTGTCCAGGGGCTAATTTTATCACTGTGGCCTCTTTCCCCACAGGGGCAACTCCCACTGCAGCTGCCTCAACCTCCCTGAGACATCGTAAACTTATTAGTTTTTCTTTGTTTTATCAGTTCATGTTTTCTCTCATCTGAGTAAGACAAAGTACAAACTAAGAAAAAAATGAAGTAAGATAGAATAAGACAGGGGACTGGATCACTTGGATATGGGAGGGGTCCAATGAACCAAAGGTGAGGAGGAAAAGATGGAGAAGAAAGGTAGAGTGAATATATGCCGTGTAGAATGGCCTACTAACTTCAATGAATGTGGACATCATATGCCATAAACATAAACAACGATTAATAATATTCTCATTATTCTTAAGTAGTCAGTAGAAAGTTGCTACTTTTAGAGGCCCTTTAAAATGACTCTTGGACTTACTCTCCACTAAACTTTGATGGATATAAACAAATCTCATACTATTTAATCTAAAGAAGAGATTAGTGCTGGCATCTGCTCTCGGGTTGGAACAGTTTAAAATCTCTAGACAACCGTCACTTTGACAGACAATGTTGCATCCTAAAAGATACAAGTTATATAAGTAAGTAAAACAAAAATAGGATTTTAAAAATGACTCAGGGGCTGGGGATTTAGCTCAGTGGTACAGCGCCTGCCTGGCAAGCATGAGGTCATGAGTTCAATTCCCGGTACTGGAAAAAAAAAAAAACTAAAAATGATTCAGGCTGAGTGCACGTGGTATACATCATTAAGTTTAAGCTTCTCTCTTTTGGAGGGAATAGATACCACCTTAAAACACTGAAGAAGATCCATTTTGTTAAGGTAGGACTTCTGTAGAATTTTGAGATGCAACAGTTAAAAAGTTTTAAGACAAAATCAAAAATTTTACTTTGTAACCAAAATATTTTACTTTTGTAACCAAAAAATTTTACTTTGTAGCCAAAAGATTTTAGTCATATCAATTTTTTAAAGACAACCAAAGTAAACCCAACATTGTTGTTGTATTTCTAAGACTTTCCCATGCATCTAGCTGCAGATTTTAGAAAAAAGTAAAACTGTGATGAAAAAGACTTGGAACAGCCATACTTAACAGTGTTGATAAGTTTAGGCAAATGACAAAACCATCTAGTTGTTTTCCATAGTATAGCACATGAAGATAACAGTCTTAATGGTACCACTGAGATAGAACTATCAGATTCTTAGTAGTTTTATATATTCTTTACAATACTTATATCAACACCATATAATGATAAAACAATAGTTCTTTAGCAGAGTTAAACCGGAGTTAATCATTCTTATAAACTGACTGTAAAAAGACATTAAAGCAAATAAGTATTTAAACAAATTTTAATTTTATAAGACAGCTTAGCCAAGTAATAATAACCCCAATTAAACACTGGCCAAAACAAAAGAAATTATGTTGATTAAAAGATATTATCTGTGCATTCTGGGATAGAAATTTCAAATAATTACAGAAACAATCACCAGAAAATATACTAGTATTAAATATAAAAAATTAGAATTGTTTTTATTAATGTTTGAAATACTAATTTTTAAAGAACTCAAATCTGTTAAATACAAACAACTTCTACACATATGCAAACTTCTTTTATTTTTCAAATTTTTTTATAATTACATGTTTAACATGCATAAGGATCACATTCATCATAGGGAATTTGTACCTGGGCATAATATATCTTAGAGTACTTCTCTGTCTTAAAGATGGATAAACTTGAGACATAGTTAGGTAAATGAATGCATCATGAAATAAATTGAAATAAATTTTGAGTGAAATAAATCAGAAGCAGAAGATTAAATATCACATTATTTCTTGTGTTTAAGAAACCCTAAGTGTGAATAAGGAGCAAAATGAAGGATAGATATTGGGAAGTAGGAAGAACTTGTTTATTTGGGAAGGGGAACAAAGGAGGGAGGATGAGAAAGGGAAGGAAGGAAAAAGGGTGTTTAAAAAAGAATAGAAGGAAAAATAGGAGCAGAGCTTTAGTAAATGGAGAGGGGCAAGAAAGCTTGAAGGGAAGGGAGATGAATGAGCAAACTTCCTTTTGTAAACCTCACTCTTCACAAAATTTCTGGGACTTCCTCAGACCCACTATGACTCACTTTAGTGCTCTGGTTTTCCCTTTCTCTCATTTTCCATTCTGCAGAAGGCAAAAACTTACCATTAAAACCCTTTTTAAATACAAAACTACTCTTTTTTTCTCCTCCTTGATGAAGCATAAGAATATAAGAACACCTGTCATTGTCTCTTTCTTCCCTGTTCCTTTTTGTCTCAAATTCTTTCTAAACTTTACATTTTCCTAAAAACCCTACAAAATGTTAAAATCATACAAGATTACCATTACTGATAAAGTTATTTAAATGTCTGCATTTTATGCTGTTTTATTAAGACACACCATAATTTCATTGTATTATTTATATATAGGAATACCTTTGTTAATTAGTATTAACTTTTAGAAACATACACTTTGCTGAGGACTCATGAAGATTAAAACTTTGAATTTTTAGTAGTTATAAATCCAACAAAAACCTCCAAAGATGTTTTCTTTTTTATAAGCTTTAAAAAGAAAATATATTAAATTGATCATTTGCAACAGTTGTTTCTGAATTTTAATTTACTTTCAAGTGTTTAACATATAATTTTGAGACTTTAAATTACATAAGTATACTTAGAAATACATATTCACTTATATTTACAATTTTTAATATTATAGTTACAAATTTAAACATTCACATTGCTTGTGAAAACAGAACAAATACAAGCACAGTCATGATTTTCTGTTACTTCCTTTTCCAAACAGAATCTCAAAAGTCAATTTGTTCTACCTGAAAAAAACAAAGAAACTAAATTAATTTGACTTATAAGTAAAAAAATCTCAAATGGTGAGACAGAGTGGTATAGCTTAACAAATTTAGCAATGTATAAATGCAGTGGAATTGAAATTATATCACAGAAAAAAAATAAAAGATTTTAAGGTTACCTGTGTACAGGTGCAACTTCCAAGATTTCTCTTGGTTATGAGCTGTGGGGTCACTTGGATTTTAAAAACATTATTTTTTTTTCTTTCTTTTCTGTGATCTAAGAGTGAAGTCTGAAACTGGATGAAATAGGTTTTCAAGGTATCCTGAACCACAAAATTATCTTAGTACAAGCAGAAACCAGTAGAGGAGAGAAAGTAGACTGCCAAAAATCCTCAAATTCTCTAATTGCGGTTTAGGAAATATTTCAGAATGGTCAAAAAAAAAGAACAGGCTTTCCATGAGGCATGACTCTGACCTGCCACATGGAGAGAGACCAGAAACCCCTCCCATCTGATGTCTCTCTGTATTCCTGTAGCCACCTGGGTGTTTGGTTCCCATGATTCCACTCAGTGGAAATTTTCCTCCAGTGGCGCTAAAAGGGCTTTGCTTTGATGGCTTCTTGGCTGTCCTTAGTCAAAGGATCAGGGCCTTTCCATTGTCAGTGGATCAGCAGGAGCATGGATTGAGATGCAGAAGCTACTTTGTATGATACCCAAGCATCTAGGAGGTGGCTTAGAGCCACCGTTAGGGGGCTAACCAAAGCAACCAAAATCCGGGTCTTTTCAGCCAATTTTGTATCCTGGGTACCTCCTGGCTCGGTCTCTCCAGTTGAGCAATTCTGATGAGTACTGTCTACAGATTATTCAACCAGAAGGGCCAGTGGGCATCATATTCCTCTTTCAGATGGTGTGATTTTTCACGGTATCTAGGGTCCAGTGTGTCTTGATAAAGAGCCATAAAGTGATGCCCATAAGCAACTTCTCTGCATTTTTACTTATCTTTTCAGGAGCAATCAACCTGAAAAATGGGGTGGGAATTAAGAGAACCATTGAGAGTCCCTCACATCAAGTTCGAGCTGTATTGCAAAGGAAGACATATTTTCTGAAGGCATTTAAGTTGAATATTTTCCAAAGGGGCAACAGAGCCCCTAGAGCAGGAGGTTGTGTGATGCTGTCAGTGTTTCCCACAGGTAAATCCTTTACAAATTTGTGAGTGATCCTGGGGAAAGGTGCAAAGCTCAGGATTGGGCACACAGGTGAATTTTGTGATACTCTTTGTCCCATGTACACTGAGTGTGAATGTGCTGCAGAAAGGAAAGGGCAGACTGCAACACAAGGGGTTGGGATATTGAGGGAATACTAGTCAGGCTGGGTGCTTCAGAAAGTAACCCAGTTGACAGCACACAACACAAGTGTGGGCAGCACTTCTTCAAACATAAAGAACTTTGTTTTTTTTTATTTTAAAGAGTAAAAGAAGGATAACATAATAATAGGGGGGACTTAGCAAATTACAGACAAAATGGTAGGAAATTATCAATGGCTATTGTTTTACATATTATTATCTACAAAATAATTTCTCAGGAAAACAAATAGACAAATAATAATGAGTTAGAGTCAAAAGAGGTAGGAGATTATCAAGAGTTGTTATGATGTTGGAGAAGGAGGTGAAGATAATTTTATGCACAAACACAAGACCCAAGGGAGGGGAAAGTATCAGTCTTCCCACAAGGAGTCAGGAGGGAGGCAGGTGCCTGTCTGAAGGAGAGGATATCTGGTACATTCGGCTGTCTCACACAAGACCTTCTGAGCCTCAGCTCAGGCCTTGAAAGCCACCAGGATCACCTGTTGTGCTGTGTTTATGGCTCCACAAAACCACCTTCAGAACTTGTCCTGTAGCTTGCATGCTGGAGCATGATCTTTTTTGGTGCAATCACATGTGCATATGACCTATCCCTAGGAATCTATAAATGTTAGGGTGAGTGCTCAGCAAGGGAATGTTCTTTGTATTTCTGCTCTTTCAAGTCTAGTGCAAACATATGTCATGAGTGCACAAAAGGTCAAAGACATTGCACGGTGATCTGGTAAATATACAAAAGTCCGATAAAGCATCTACAAATATATTTATCAGCCAATAAGCAGTGTTCTGTAAATACTCAGTGGTTTCTTGGCCAGTTGTCTCTCCCAGAATGTCCAACGTGTGATGACTCTGTCCTGTATAAATTCTCCATGTGACTGTTCTTGGATGCACCTGTCTGAACAGAGTCCTGCTCACCACAATGGTAGGTAACTGGGTCGGGGATGCCACCAAGATAAGCACTTGCCTAACATCAGCAGATAACTAATTTCATGCATGAATATCAGCAAAGATAACATGAATAGATACTTTTATTTGATATGCTATTGCACTTATTCCTTATCATGAATTTATTGCTTAATGCCACCCAGCTTTAAATAATTTCTATATTATAATCTAATGTGTACAATGGATGTGGGACATTAGAAAATAAAAGGAATAGATCTATTCTTTAAGATACAAACTATTCTCAGGTTCCATATATTTTAATATGCATCTAGATCTTGGACCCTACCTCAGTGATTTATGGAATTAAATGTAACTTCAAAGCTGCAATTTGTGTGTCACATCAAAAAGGAGGAAGCTGAGATGGAGAAGGGGGAGAAGCTGCCACCTTGTTTGAACCCTAAACCTGGGGGAGCTGAGATGAGAACTCAGGTATTACTCTCCAGTCCAGAGTCTCACAAGTGTGACTGGTAGAGTCAGGAGGGGAGAGCTTTTAAAAAAAATCAGTACATGTTTGCAACTCATACACTTTACAGTCATCTTGGGAGTCTGTACATGTACATATTACTGTTTGTTTCTTTTTTAATCCCCTTCCCTCCTCTTTCCCCCTCCTTCAATTCCTCTATAACCTTTTTCAATTTTGCTGATATTTTTTAAAGGGAAATCCAGTGACATTTGCTAATATTTTTTGTCTTAGCTCACATTATGCCATATAGTATTTACATTAATTGTGTTTACATTAATTGTCATACAGTGTTTGTGTTAATGTCCGAGTTAGGCATTGCTGAGTGTATATAGCACTTCTTTATTCCTCTCATTTCTTCTTTCTCTCCTGCGCAACCCTCCACTTGTTCCCTTCGACAAATTCCCTGTAGTAAGTGGTCCATCTCCTTCTCCCTTTCTACCCATCCTTTATCATTTTCTCTGTTTTTACTTTTGCCTCACTCAAATGAGAGATGTCATATGATATTTCAGCTTGTGTGTCTGGTTTATTTCACTCAACATTATGTTTTCCAAGTTTTGCACAATTCAAGAGACAAGGGATCACAGGAGTTTATTTAGGTGCACACCTGGCTCAATGGACTTCTGTCCAAAAAGAGCTGACAGCTGAACAAAGGAAGGGCTTCTGTTTTACACTTGCTGCCAAGGGGGTTAGTCTTCAGTTGAAACTTGTGGGCTGGCAGAAGGAGAACAAAAGCCATTTGTCAAGCTGTGATAGTCTTGTAGCAGATCTTGGTGGCCCTGCTTGGGCATAACAGGATGTTATGGGAACAGGAGGTTACAAAATTTTACTTACAGGGACAAAAGTTATGGCTTTTTATCTGCAGTAGAGCAAAGAACAACAGATTTTTTAGTTTTAAGTCCTGCTTCATGTCCTCCCCCCTTTGATATTGTTTATAAGTGAGTATTAATAGACAGCATCAGTACCACTATCACTTATCCTGTTATGGGAGAGTGGCTCCCTATTGGGGAGGGAGAGAAGTATAACAAGGAAAAGAAACATATGCTGTTGTAACTCTATATTGATATTTAAGACGTCATGCTGAGGTTCTCTAAGTTTGAATATATGTCTCAATCGTGGTCCCTATGTGAGTGGCTTTTGGAATTAAATATAGTTTAAGAGCTGCAACTTATGTATCATTTTACAAATGGGGAAACAGAGGTGGGGGAAGCAGCTGCCACCTGGTTTGAACCTCAAACCTGGGGAAGCCAGGAACCCAGGTGTCTTTCCCCAAGCCAGCACTTCACCAACATGACTTTCTGGTAGAGTCACTGGGCATGGGAGGCTTCTTTGAAAGACATTGACCCTGACTCCACCACAGACACACTGGATTAACTTCTCTGTGGTGAAATAGGGCAATGGGAAAGCCCTAAAGAAAGCTTCTCCTGATCCCACTCTCCTGGGTACCACATCTTAGGGATCAGGGGTTCAGGATGCAGGAATAAGTCAAACAGAGCAAAAGCAGATGTGAGGACAGAATGCATGAGTGGGATGAGACTTTAGTGCCTCTATACTCAAGGGGATCCTTGGACTTAAGCATCAACACCAGCATGACCAGGGACCTGGTCTCTGAGTTTGTAGATCTACTGAAGCAGAAACTTCCAGCTTTGTATTTACCAAGCTCCCTCAGGAATGCACCCGAGTGTTAAAGCAGTACTGTTTTTGTCAGCTTTCCTGTGGATCTGTCCAGGAGATGAGGTCCAAAGGCAAAGTCCCTGGCCAATGGCTTTTCTCCTCTGATGCCATAGCTCTGTGACTCAGTGAAACAAGATCATCACAGGCACTGGAAACCTTCTCTATTCAAAGAACAAAATTCTGTCAGAGGGGCAGGTTTGAAAGAAAGAAAATTGTAGGTTTCCACTAAGTTTTAAGGTAAGAAAAATGGAGACTGAGACAAAAAATGCAACTGCAGCTCTAAATCCTGATGTTGTTACATGTAACGAGCTTCAGTTTTGTTTATACTTTAAATCATTAATTCATTCCTTGATAGCTGTGAATCTAATATATGTCATTGGGGAAAATGTACAAAGTAAGAGAAAAGCTTGAAGTTGTCATATTCACAACAAAATACCCAAAAATGTCTTCCTCAAACTTGGCCCATCCCTGCAGTCTGTATCTAAGCTCCTGTCTCCATCACAACTGTCACTGCATCTAAACTGATTTGCATCTAGCTTCAAGTCACTGAAAAAACCCCAATGATCCTTGGATTATGTCATTTTTCCTTATTATCTGTCAGCCTACTGGGTTCTTTCCTGAGTTCCCATATTCTCAGATAGCTGCAACCTGAGCTATTTGTGGTTTCCCATTTTCCCACTGCACTGAGCAGCCTGCAGTGGAGTTGCTCTTTGCCTCTCTCTCTTTCTCTTTGGGTCAAGTCTCAGAAGTGCAGATATGGCTGCAAATGTTAAAATTAGTGTGAGAATATTCCCATGCATGAATGGATTGTTCGCTGTGAACTGTTTGTCATAAGTGATTCTTGTGCATATCGAGATATTTGCCTTATATATGCCTCAATTTCCCTATGAGTATGGTCAGCAAAAGGATTTTTCTGGGCTTTCAGTGTGGTTCCAATTTATCTACATATGGACATTTGTTACAACGTGGGTGAAATTTCCTGGGCTAATAATTCCTATTTCATTTATTACTATTGTCTTCCCATGTCACACCTTCTGTAAAACTCTTGGCATGTGGCACAGAAAGGTGGAAAGAACTTTCAGGCATTAGCACCATTGCCATCATTGCAGCAAAAACTCTGGATAGTATACAATGCAATTACCTTCTCAGAGCACTTCTTTGGAGGCAGCAATCACATGGCCCAGATACAGCACCTGCCCCACTCATTTTCTTCTCCAGCTGTGGCCACACTATCCCATGGAACCTGGCCATACTGTTGTGTCCTTGAAATAGACAAGCTTGATATCTGTGACAAAGGACAAGTGAAGTCAGGGGGTAGGAGTAGCAGACATCCAGGCTCTTGACTCTTGGTGTCTTTAGTCATAGCCCTAGTCCAGATATGTGGGATCCAAGGATGGCCTGGGTTTGCAGGGGAGCAGGAGAACAGAGATCCAGGTGCAGTTCCAAGAGAGCTGAGCATTCTGGGAGGAGCAGGCTCCCAGTCTAGAGAAATCCCTTGTAAAATTTGTTTCATAGTGAAGACACAGGGAAATTTACTCTGGTTCTTCTCTAAATTGTCCACCATCTGCTCTACAACCACTGTTCAAAAATCACTTTTCACAGATCAGTTCTCCTGATCTCAAAGAGCACATTTATTTTACAGGTCATTCATCCACATTTATTGAACACTCCCTGCGTTTTCTATTTTATCCCCTATATCCATCTTTCTACTCTTTCATCTGTACTGTCCTACATTATAGCATCACTTCATTTACTTCAAGCACCTTCCAGAAGGACATCCCCCACCCCATCTGCTTTCTAAAGATTCCCTGAATCACACACTGAGATTTGTTTGTGTACCTTGCTCTTCTTAAAAGATGTTTTTGTCATCTGTACATCTCTCATCCTACCAGTTTCAACCTGAATTAACAACTTTTTTCACACACTCATCAGACCTGCCCTTATCTGGACTGGAATACAGTCCAGAACCACAAAAATACAATACAATAAAATAAAAATATGACAACAAAAAGGTCTTTATCATGTGAAAAATAAAGTCCTCAGCAGCAGGGTCCTTGTTTCAACCTGGCTTTAATCTGCCTTCCTAGTTACTTCTGTGGCCTACTGGGTTCCACCATCCTCTGACTGGATTTTCTTTGTGCTATGTCTTTGTATATGTTGTCTTGTTTTCAAAACCTCTCAATACCGCTCTCATTTCTGCCTTTTATAAACACAACTTAAAATGTTCAACACATCTACAAAGGTTTCCTAAAATTCCATTGCAATAAGAAAGCACATTCTCATTGCAGCAGTGGGATCCTTGACGTGTTTAATTTTATCTATCATTTTCTTAGTGAGTGTAGGTCTGGTTGCCTGACCGGTCACCCGAGGGAAGAAGATCTACTGTCAGATCCACTTGCCAGATCCTGAAGGGAGTCTTGCATGTGACTCTCATTCCAGGATGATAGTTCGAGTGCACTCACTTTCTTCCATGACTTTCCTTACATTACAGAAAACTCTCCTGGGAAGCCTCCTGGTCCTGGCCACCTTCATGTCTTCATGCAGTGCTCATTGTTATTTGATGCCCACAGAAAGTAGTGAAAGTTACCCACCTGGTAAGTCCTGGTTTCAGTGCACATTATGTTACTGCAGCCTAGTAGGTAGGACCAGCTGTCAAATAAATATAATTGGATCTACCTCGAAGGAGATGTTTGAGTTATAGAAATGGAGGCAAATGTGTCTCCACCTTGGCCTGCATATGCACAAAGATTCTTCATTCTGCCTGGCTGAGAATTGCCTAAAAAACTTTTGAAATGTATGAATTCTCAAGATCTATCAAGGACTTGGTGAAGCAGAATCTCTGGATTCAGAGCTGCATATTCAGAAATTTCTTGATTGACATCCAGAAGCAATTAAGGTTGAGAACCACTTTCAGCATCCAAAGATGTATTCAGGGATTGAGGTGCCTGACAAGCCAGAGGGAGGCATTAACCTGAAGGTGTTGACTCAGAGAAGCTGAAGGCAGGTATGAGAATGCAATTTCCAGAACAAACCTGGGTGATGCCGAGCAAGTGAATCCTGCAAACATACATGGGCATCAGGGGCCTCAGCAGAAGGTCTGAGCCCTGGTTGAATATTAGCATCACTTAGGGAGTGTTTTAGTGTTCTAAACATATGGTCTAATGTGTCCACAACAAGAGATCTGGATCTCATAGTTCCAGGAGTAGGGGAGCATGGGCACAAATGATTTAGGTTGCTTAGAATTGTTTGTGTTTGTTTGCTTGAGTCCAGGTATTAAAACTAAGGTTTTGTGCATTCTGAGAATGTGATCTTCCATGTGTATTTTTTTAAGATATTTACAGTCACACAAAGAATTGAGAGACTGTGATTCAAAACAAAATAGGAACAGAAGTAAAATATTTTGTCAGAGATGCTTGTGCAGAATAATGTGGAAAAACAAGTGCCTTGTGACTCTAGTAACATTAAAGAGGAAGGCATTACCTATATGGAAATACAATATTTAAAGAGTTAAACTTGGTATAGGAAAATGTTATTAGTGACATGGAATGCACAGTATTAGAATACAGAATACTTCCTTAGGCAACTGTCAAATTTCTTATGATCACATGACAGGGGCTGGCTTCAGTTTTCTGACAGCGTTTCTTTCCTGTCGCATGCTTTGAGACTCCACTGATGATGTCCTTTGTGCTGTTTCAGTATGCAAAGATGTTGATGGAACAATATACCCAGTGAACTCAACTTGGAAGACACAATACTGTGAGGACTGTTCTTGCAGTGACAGTGGAATTGAATGCTGCAACATGTGAGTCTCATGCCATGCTGACCAAGATGGACCTGGCTTTCTGACAAAAGCAGATTAATCACTGATCAGTACCTCACCCTCTGGTTATTTCAAGGAGATAAAATTGTGTAGCACAGTTTCAGATTTAGAGAAAAAAATTGACTGGAGATTCACAAAATTTCCAATTCTTCCTCCAAAGTTCATTTCCAGATGACCCAACTGTTACCACTTATGCCTCTATCAGAGGGCACAGTTATTGGCCTTCATGAGCCTTGATCCAAGCCTCTCATTACCCACAGTCCCAAGTGTACATGAGGCAGCATTCCAGAAGTGTGAGTGTGCAGAGGGGAGTTAGCTTCCATGTGTTTTATCCACAGCTCATTGTCATTAGATATATTCATGCTATTCTGCAACATTCATCACTCACTCCCAGATTCATTGCATTTGCACAACTAAAACCCAGCACCCTTTCAACCATCGCTGCCCTTCCCTTTCCCCAACTCATGGCTATCCCAATTGTCCCCTCCATATCTACAAAGCCTATGTCTCTAAGAGTCTCAGATAACAGAGAAATGCAGCTTTTAACATTTTGGGGTTAGTTAACTGAACTTTGGACTATGTCCTTAAGATTTATCCAGTGTGTTGGATAAATAAGATATTCCAGTGTGTTGGAATATCCTTCCTCTTCAAGATCCATAATACTCAACTGTATGGCTGGACTACCTTTTATTTCTCTGGTCCTTAAAGTAACTCTTCTCTTGCTCCATTTTCTTTAGCTATTTTTGAAACGTGATCAGCAACTTTATTCAGAAATACCCATATTCACACAGGTTCTTGTGCACAAGGAAAGTGTATCTAATGATCGGGTTTTCCAATTTGACCTTATAGTCCCTGTAGCCTTGCCTTCGCAATTTTGCCAAGAGTGCTTAAGTACAGCTAGAGAGATGAGCTGAGAGGTGTCAGGAAAAATCTGTGTGTGCCTTGTTATGTAAGCCCTGTGCTCTTTGGGGCTCAAATTGAAATCAGGGCAAGCATGATTTCAGCAGAAGTTTTGGGCTAGGCTTCTATGGAAGCCAAATATGTAGGCTTTGATAAACTGGAGCATAGATACCTGCCATCCTGCACATACCAGTCCTTAGTTTATAATGTCTTTCAAAGCAAAGAGTAGTGTTCTGTGTTTTGTTTTGTGAAAGAACACAGGCCTTCAGACATGGCCAGAAAATGAGCTAGAGCCAAGTTTCACCCTTACCTGAAAAGAATATCTTTGCTACCAGAATCTGTGAAAAGTAGCAATTTTCAGCTTTGCCCCCACGATTGAATCCCTCCAGGAGACTCAGAGTCTTATCTTACTCCACTGAACAGAAGAGTGAGCAGCTGACTTAATGAGAACAACCTAGGCTTATGTGAGTTTAAGTGTCTCAAACACTTTGCCTACAATGACTGAGAGGTCTGATTGTTGGTGCACAGTGAAGAAGGACAAAAGTCTGATGGGTGGATTGAGGCTGGTGTGTGGAGGAGCCTCTCAGGCAAAGTAGTGGCCTTTTATAGCTACATTTTGACTTTCAGGCTCTGCTATTTCACTATGTCTTTGCAGCATACTGACACTGTGACTCTGAAATGTGTCCTGGTCAGCATCCAGGCTGATGGAAGATTCCTTCCCACAAGACAGTGATCCTTTATTGAATTCAGACCATCTTTTGCCCTTCAGAGCAGGGTCATCCCAGCATGTCCACAGGACCCTTCTCTACCTCCCAGGGACATGGGTACAGAAGAATATCGGCTGGTCTTAGTAGCTGTGAAGGAAGAAACTTGACCCTGGAGTCACAGTGGCCTGTCTGAACCTACTTTTCCTTGTGTAGTTCCTCTGTGTCTCAGGGGAAGTTCCTCAACTTCTCTGTGCCCCATTTTCCCTTACTGTGAGCTAGGCATTATCAGGTGGATGTGGGAAATGAGATTCTGCAGGTATCCATTCACCCAGTAGGAACCCAGGAGCTTCTCTGGGCCTAGATCTGAGGTCCAAAGTCTAGGACAGTAAAATAATTGGTATATGACCAGGCTTTCAGGTGCCCTTTTCTTCCTTTCTTCCAAATTTCCTAGCCCAAGTGATATATTGCTCTACCTTTAGGCATGTGCTCATTTGTCTCCAGTTCAGAGCCAGCTCCTGTTCCCAAGAACTGACCCCCTTCTTGTCATGTCTGTTTTCTCATGAGCTTTCATTTTTATTTTGGGTGTGGCATGGTACCCATCTGCCTCAACTTCTGTAGGACAGTATTTGGAACCATGGCATCTCTTCAGGACACTGTCCAGATATCCAGGTCATTACTATCTGTAATCCCAGGGTGAGGCTCTTGGAACAGGGCAGGTAGGTGTCCTGGCCTTCACTGTACCTGGGTCCAGCCTGCCGAAGCCCATTGTTCAGACAGTGAGGGAGTGTCTGCAGTGAGGGAGCTACAGGGTTAATTTTTCCCAAGCTCATCTCTGGGCATCCCACATGATGTTTGTGATGTCTCTGCTGAGGCTCTCCTAGCTGTGTCCCCTCCCATACTAGGTGTGAATAGAATTAAAATTTTATTCACTGATGGTCTTTTGCCCAGCAACTTGGTCCTGCACACAAATGGCAGAATTATGTATGTTCACATCCTAAAAACAACTTGCAAGAGTATTTCAATCATTTCTTGAAATAAATCATATATTACATATAGTAGTACAATCTTATAACTATATTTAAATTGTACAGTTGAATGGTATTGAATATATTCACATTATTTTAAGGCCATCATCATTACTTTCTAACTTTTTAGAGTACTGTATTCTTTTGTTTCTGTTTCTCTCTGCAATGGAGCTCCTGGTGCTGGCCTTGAAGTTGAAATTCTCTTACCTCACCTCTCCAGGGAGCAGGAATAACAGGCCTTCAACACGGTGCAAGGCAGTTTCTAAGTAGTTGTAATTACAGCAAACCCAAACTGTGAACACTTAAAGCTGTAACTTTCATCTGCCACTCCTGTCCACCCCTGAGGCTGTCTATCTAATCTCCTCCTTCTGTACAGGTGACTTTACCTCTTCTCCATCATTCATGTCAGTGGAACCTTGATGCTTGCCTGTTGTGTGGGCTTATTTCTCTGGGCAGCTGCTCAAAGTTCAGCCCTATTTCTGCATGATGGAGTTTTGTTCCATCACACTTAGCTACATTCAAAGGCACTGTCACCCCACACTTGGATAATGCACTCAGGTGTGGAGAGACATTGGATATCAGCTCTTTTTTAATTTTCTGTACTGAATAACGCTGCTGGAACATACAAGTGTGTTTGTGTCCCTGCTTTCTATTCTTTGGGGCTCTGTACTGGGAGTGGCACTGCTGGGTCATATGGAACTATAGGTGTAACTCCCGAAGAACTCCTGGGGTGTTTTCCACAGGAGCTGCCCCATTTCACAACTCCATCTGCACGCAAGTTTTTAAGGTTGAAATGACATTTCTCATATCTGTACATCAGAACATACTAGCTATAAAATTCCTGAGTACAAGTAAAAAAAATACAATTTCACTTCTTTACAAATAAAACCCTCAACTTTTTCTCATCATTTTTGGCACACTTTTTTCCATGTGCTATTGATAGGAAATATTATATTGCCACTGTGTGGTCAAATTTGTCCACTTTACATTGCAGTATCACTACCATAGAATCATATCATACCTCCTCAGAATATTTTGCAATTCAATTTAACCATACCATAGTTTATGCCACAAGAAGCAGAGAGCCTGGAGCATGGCTGCAGGTGTTACAATTCACAAGATGATGATTTAAAGGTACCTGGTCCCCTGGGTCATTGTCCAATGTCTCAGTCCCTTGGAGCAGATGTCTGACCTCTCTCACTGAACCCCAGCTGCTAAGAGTGCCGTAGTCCGGGGCTAAGCAGTGAACATGGAGGAGCAACAATGCACAGGACAGCTCCATAAGGGGATTGAAACATCCTCCTTTGTTAAAATACAAATCCAAGGTCACCTTATGGAAGGAAACATTCTCTTGCAGGGCTATGATGCTGGCTGCCTCTGTCCTCTAAGGACAGTTTAAATCCAGTACCATGAGATGGGCTTCTTGGGGACAGTGACCCCTAATCTGTGCATTGCTTAGTGTGTAGTGAATGGTCCCCAAAATGTGGCCCAAATCTAATTATTATCTCCTTAGGTTATTTTAACCTGGCCTAGAGTTCACTCCTCTGGTTACAGGTCACCATGCTGTTCAAGAACCACCTTTCATTCTCACATTCCAGCAATGGCAGTGCTGGCTACTTTCTAAACAGGAATGTACAAAGGGCCAGACTGGCAAGATTTCCCTTTCCCAGCATTTGAGAGACCTGCTCTGGCTGGTCGTGTTCTGTGTATGAAGGTTGGAGTTTGTTACTGGTGTGAAGGATGGTCTGTGTGACTGTTGGATGCACGGGTCAGGGAGTCTGAAGCCCAGCTCCTGGGCTGCTAGCCAAGGGGTGCCCTACGATGATGAACATGATCCCATCCAATTGGGTGTCAGGCTGGTGTGGGCTGCAGTCACATCTTTCTAATAGATCTTGGTCTTTTCACCATGACAGAGCTTCTGTACCTATCGATTATGATGAAAAAAAGTGTCATGCCATCTTCCATCCTGAGAACTGCACCTACCATGTTGTGGATCGTAAGGACCCAGGAAAAGCCTGTGCTGTTACGACCTGGATGCTGTGATGCCCTTCCAGTGGGTCCAGGGCACCAAGAGCAGGACTGTCACTCCTGTGGACTCTAATAGTCTCTGATTGTGTAGCCCTACATAGCAGTAAATCATTCTTGAGAAACCTTGAACATGAGTGTTCTTTACATTTACCAATTGTGTTTGCAGGAATCACATACTATAAAAGCCACAGGCATTGAAAGGGGAAGTCAAAATGAAATATGAGTGAAAGTCACAGCATGTTTCATGTACTATAGGAAATCATCATATATCCCTCACCAAGGTACCACTGTCACCACTGCAACACTTCACACATCAACCTTCTATTGCCTGCACCATACATCTTGGTGAAAAAAGTAAAAATAAATGCATTAAAGATTAAATCACACCCCTTCTTTAGTATATGGTGTTCATTATCACCCATACTACTCTCCTTCTGACTTCTCTGTCCCCACTTTCCTTTGCATTTGCTTTACATAACAGCAGGAAAGGACAGCATAGGCTGAAAAAGATTCCACAGGATACCATGCAGCCCCACAGGGAATCAAGTCCAGGGCTCTGCGGGAACACAGGCCTGGGATTAGGGATACAGGTATCTGTTGCTGCACATAGACACCAACATTGTTGATTTCAATCAGTGTCCATGGTAGACAGCATGTGCTCTCTGTTCAAAGTGTTGAGTGTCCAGGGCCAGGCAAGGCACCAGGCCTGGGATCCAGCAATGGACAGTGAGCTCAGGCCTCTGCTGTCCTGGAGCTTACAGCACTGTGTATCTGACATGTCTCAAAAAGCAATCATTGGGCAGCAGATACAGAACTTCATCCCTGGATCCATCTTTTCTGTTCAAACTTGTTCTGTATATGCTGAACAGTTCAGGCATGCCTGTCAGGGTTTATGGTCATCCTAGGGGAAAGACATGCTTTGGTGGTCATCTTATGATATAGAAAAGTTTTATTGCAGAGTCTGCATCTGCACTGAAGAGGGCCAGGATGATGAGAGAGTTGAGTGCTGACACAGCCCTGTCTCTGCCTGAGGAAGGGATCACATTTGGCTCCTCCAGTGGTTTTTACTCACCTTTGGGACCCTCACTTCTGCTCATTTTTCTCCTAATCCACACCCAGACTAGATAAAGATGCCACAGATAGGGCAAAAAGAGAACTCGAAAGGGGTGTGTTAAAGGGTGACTCACTGAAGTGGGCTCCTGCAGGGGGTGCATGCCTCATCCATCAGCACACCTTAGAAGGCACCAGAGGAAAAAGTACAGATGACGCATCCTGAATAAATGTTAAAATCTACAAGCAGTAAAGGGAAGCCCTATCATTCCCAAGGCAGCCTGTAAAAGCAAGGAGGACTTTCAACATCCCTTCACCACTAGGATAATGGCAGTCAGAAGCAGGTGCAATACCAGTGCTGTCCCTTGTAGTGTGAGCAAGGACATCTAATACAATTCCTTTGCCTAAAAAAGACCACCAGGCCACTGAGGAACTCGCAGTGAGGAGTAGTAAAATCTGGTACCAGGGCACTGTTGAAAACCTGTCCTGATGTGCTTTTTGTGTTGTTTACAATCCATATCCCATCTATCTGTTCTCCACTGGGCCAGAGAGCAGGCATGTACCATAGCAAATAAATTGGCCTTTCCTCCACTTTGGCTCTCCATCCTGCCTTGTGTTTTGGATCCTGCCAAGATATTCTCAGATCATCTTAATGTTGGGTCATAATGGGTTCTTTTCAAGAAGTTGCTACATAAATTTAACATATCTGTTCTTATCTTTTGTCCCATCTACCCTCCCTCCACATCCTACTTCTCTGCTTTGCCATCTTCAGATGTCTATTTCCTGGTTTCATGTTCTATCTCATTTATTTTACCTTTTTATTGATTCATTTATGTACTTTTTACATTTCTTATGTAAAAGAAATTATTAGATTTAATTTTCTGCATCTGCCAAATATCACCTAATTGTTTCTAGTTTCATACATTTTACTGGAAATGACAAGATTTTTTATTTTCATGCTTGGTAATATTACACTGTGTATATACAGCACATTTCCTTTATCCATTTGTCCACTGATGAGCACCAATGGCTGTCTGAACAGCTTAATTATCATGGATGGTGCTGCTATAAACATGTCAGTATTTGTGTCATCCCTATATAACATATCTCTATACTATGCAGTCTTTATTTTTTTGCAAGAGTGTTCAAGAGTAATATACCTAGGTAATACTATGATTCTATGTTTAGTCTTTGTGGAAGCTCCATACTAATTTTTGTAGTAGTTGTACTCATTTTCTTTTTTTTTAATTTTAAAAATAAAAGGAGGAAAATATTAACAAACAGACAACCTTTTACAAAATAGCAAAAGAACAGTACAGACAATACAGACTTACAAACAAAGTGGCAAGAAATTAACAGTGCTTGTTGTATTACACATAGATATCGTCAAAGTGGTTTCTCATGCAAACAGATAGAGACATGCAATATTGATCAATCAAAGACTCATTGACAGATTCTTTCAGCAAAGAAATAGAAGACAGTCGAACAACTATGTTAACTATGCTGTATATACATACATCAAAATTTCTCCTTCTTTCCCTTCTCTTTTCCCCCATCCCAGTTGCCCTTTACCCTTGAGTGTTTTCCTATCATTTCACAATGTCTATCATACCATCTAGTTTAAATTAACTCTTTCAGGTTTTACACTAGTGAGGCAAAGCACTGCTTGCACATGATTCCTCAGAAAACTAGGTCTAGAGGTCCCATTCAACCCAGCTATTCCCCTTCTGGGTATTTTCCCAGAAGATCTGAACACATCATATCACAGCAATATATGTGCACCTATGTTCATAGCAGCACAATTAGTAATTGCTGAATTGTAGAAGCAACCCAAATGTCCATCCACCAAGGATTGGATAAGAAAATTGTGGTACTTTTATATAATGGAATATTACTCAGCTATAAAGAAAGATAAACTCGAGGTCTTTATAGGTAAATGG